TAACGTCGGTCTGTACAACGGAATTGTGCCAAAACTACGCCAACCGGCTACGGAGGGAGACTACCCCCCCCCCCTTCACTGGAGAACTGCGCTAAAACAGCTGATCACAACGTTCACACTCTGTGGTCACGAAGTACTCCCCTAGCCGCCCCCCCCCCCCCCCCCCCGTCGACTTTCCTGAAGTACTCCCCCGTTGATAGAAATCAACACGTAATGAATTAAGACCCCACGGTTTGATGATTGATAGGTGTGTGGGTTGTCTTTCATTTTGACACGCAGAAAAATGTTATAATAAACATAGATACTGTATGTTAAATGGATATATCCGCCTTCTTTCATTTATCTTTCCATTCCCACAACAATATGCATAAATAAATGGCATATTTTGGACATAGTTCGAATGGTGATTAATCATGATTAATTAATTTTTAAGCTGTGATTAATCTGATTAAAATGTTTAATCGTTTGACAGCCCTAGTATTTACCTAGTAGTAACAAAGTTGTTTCTGTCCTTTAAGTAGGATTCAAACTAATTTAGAACTGTTTCCGAAAGTCCCACCCAGTTTTCCAGTCGGTCTAGTAATATGCTGTGGTCAACAGTGTCAAACGCAGCACTGAGATCTAATAATACTAACACTGAAGTTCTGCCACTGTCTGTGTTTAAGTGGATGTCAAGGGCGGAAGCGGGGGGGCCAGGGGGCCATTGCCCCCCCCACTTTACGGCCCTGCCCCACATTTTCGCAGTTGCGGATGCCGCGGAACACTGTACAAATCCCGTTTCAATAATTCCCCTCTACTCTAAAGTCGCATCTAAAAAGACTTTGTAAAAACAGTGTCATTACTAAAGCAAATTAGTTGTTTGCACTATTTAGCTGAAATGTGCATTGCAATAATCCTATTAAGCAGAGATAACTCTGTGTGTTACGTTTCTGCAAGAGAGGGCAGGGGCTTCCACACACACATTGAGCATTAGTGCTGCAGCTGCACTGCACGCAGTCAGAGGTGAAGACCGAGGAGCCCGCTAATTATTGCTGCTGCGTCTGGTGGTCCTACCGAATTTTGACTTTACGTGGAATGGTGAGTTTGAAAACATCTATATTATCTATCTGTAGATATCTTTCTGTCAAAAATGTATTCGCTAAAAGACTTGCTCACAACAAGTTAGCTTAGTGCTAAAGCTGCACGTGGTTTAGCTAAAGTTACATAACGGCTGATCATATGGTAACAAAACCGATTTAAAATGGCTTTTCATAAGGTTGCACATGAGTGATTCGTCACATTTATAACAGTAACTTAGCAAAATGTTCAAAGGAGCATGTCATTAAGGGGATATTAGCAGAGTTTAGCTAACGTTCTGCAGAGGTTAGTTAACGTTGTACAGAGGTTAGTTAACGTTTTGCAGTGGTTAGTTAACGTTGTACAGAGGTTAGTTAACGTTTTGCAGTGGTTAGTTAACGTTGTACAGAGGTTAGTTAACGTTGTACAGAGGTTAGCTAACGTTGTACAGAGGTTAGTTAATGTTGTACAGAGGTTAGTTAACGTTGTGCAGTGGAGTTAATGTATTTTTTTCGTTTTCTTTTCTAGTTATCATTTGGTAATAAACCCAATTCAAAATATGTCCTTAGGTTGCACGCCTGCCGGATTATCTTCTGCTCGGACGAGCTGCACCCCCTCATCCTGGCCGCGCGGGGCTGTACGGTGAGTGGGTGAGCCAGCGCTGTGAGATGCGCCCCGAGGTGCTCTTCCTCACCCGCCACTTCATCTTCCACGACAACAATCACACCTGGGAGGGCCACTACTACCACTACTCCGACCCTATCTGCCAACACCCCACCTTCAGCATCTACAGCCGGGGGCTCCACTCCACCCGCGTAATGGGCGGGACAGAGTTCGTCTTCAAAGGTAACGGGTTAAACTGTTGACCCTGGTAGAATGGTCTCTTTTACTCCCTTTATTGTACATGTGAGGGTCTATGTATGTATGCTTTCTGTGTTTGACAATGTCACAAATACATCATATATACAAAAATAAACAATAAACTAATGACAAGGACAAAGATTCAGCTGGAAAAAAAACGAGTTATTTTCCTGTCCTACAGCTGTGGTAAAGAGTCAAATATACCAACAATTTCTTGGTGAATGAAACATGTCCTGATTGTGCTCTTATGTTGCTGTCGTTTCAGGACACTGATGATGACTCGTTCCGTGACATTGACATTGGGATCCTCCTGGTTGAGCATGAAGGTGCTAGTCCCTCATCTTCCGCAGTCCAGCCTCGCTGAAGATCATCCTTGAGGGACAAGTTGTGATCGACAACATCCAAGACCTGCCAAAAGCGATTTCTGTTTGGTCTTCCATACTCATACGCATCTCAACTACCCCAAGACTATGATTCTCACATTCCAGTTCATCCAAAAGGTTCTTCTCATGTTGGGCCAAGATGAACTAAAGCCAAGGTTGCAAACATTGAAGAACCAGCTTACAATGTAAAGAAATGCACTGACACTTGTTACTGCTGTTCAGCTGCTACCAGCATCATGAGACAATTAATGAACTTATAAATCAAATGTATCGGGAGTCTCTGACCACTCTATTAACTGAAATTAAAAGCAATGCAAAACACTATGCAGTTATTGTGGATGAAACTCGCGATTGCTCCGGGCATGAACAGTTGTCTCTTACAGTATGATGGGTATCAGCTGATTATGTTATCCATGAAGACTTCATAGGAATGTATGACTGTCCTAAAACTGACGCAGAATCAATAACCCTTACTATTAAGGACATGTTAATGAGATGCGGCCTGGACATTGGTGACATGAGAGGACAAACCTACGATGGCGCATCTGTTCTACAGGGACAAATGTCAGGTGTGGCCAAACGCTTTAAAGACATCAATCCCAAAGCAGTCTCAATGCATTGCACAAATCACAGTTTGAACCTAATTCTTCAGGAAGCTGCTTCAAAGTGCAACATTGTACGTGGTGCCTTCAGTTTAGTTCACGACATACATGAGATAATCAACAACTCACCAAAACGACTCGCCATGTTTAAAAACATTAGGGATGCTGCTGCTGCCTCTCCTGGTGCCAGTGCTGGCCTCACACCGCTCTGCCCCACTCGCTGGACAGCCAGAGGCAGTGCAATCAAATCCTTGCTTGCCAATTACGAAGCTGTCTACGACACTTTGGATGAAATAATCCGAATGGGGGGGGAACACAGAAGCAAGCAAAAAGGCACCAGGGCTGCAGGCATTGATGACTCAATTCAGTGTTTTCTTTGGACTGAAAGTGTGTCTTAAACTGTTTTCTTCTGCGGAAGAGGTGGCTCGGGTGCTCCAGTCCAAAGACCTCTCAGCAGAGACAGTTAAGTCAGCAGTGCAGATGCTCCGGACACACTACACAAACCTGAGGTCCACAGAGGCATTCCACAGCATCTTTGAAGATGCCCAAAGAACGACCATGAACGACCTGGTCCAGGCACCGGCTCTTCCTCCAAGGCGGCGCTCCACGCCGTTATGATGATGGGGATGCACCTCATCAGTGGGAAAATCCAGAGGACTACTTCAGGAGCCAGTTCTTTGAGGTAGTTGACCTGCTCACTTCTGAGCTGACTCGCAGGTTTAACCAACCCACTCTGCTTCTGCTGATGAGCATGGAACAGGTACTCCTCACAGCAGTAAACACCCCCCCGGGATTCGGCAGCATCAACATCCCCCAAAATCTGGTCGACATGTACACAGGTGATGTTGACATGGAACGGCTGTCCACCCAGTTGTCACTGTTTCCAGCAGTTTTGCAGGCACACAACAGTTCCGGCGCTGAAAGACCCATCACTCAGGTGACAAAGGTGGCCACAATCGCGGACATGCTGGCGGCACAGGGACGAGGCACGCAATCCCTCTTCAGTAAAGTGGACAAGCTTCTACGGCTGTATTTCACTGTGCCGATGTCCAATGCAACAGCTGAGCGGAGCTTCTCCAGCCTCCGTCGGTTGAAGACGTTCCTTCGTTCAACTATGTCCGAGCGCCGCTTAAATCACCTTCTCTTCAAAAACTTCTCATCCACAAAGATTTGACTGACGGCCTGGACCTCAAAAAAGTGCTCCGGAGTTTCTGCTTTGCCAGTGAGCGAAAAGAGGTTTACTTTGGCAAAATGTAGAAAGATTAAGTAGGCTAGATTTAGCCACGTGGGGATTTTTGTTTTGTTTTACCCTATGCATTGTGGGACATTTGTTGGAAGGTTGCTCCACCCTCATGTTATTGGACATTTTAGTCATGTGATTTTAATTACACAACATCACAGCTTGTGTTACTGTTAACAAGCTTGTTATACGTTCTTTTCACAAGAATTGTTGTTTGGTTCGATTAAATAAATAATTTATGTCCATTTCTTGAAATAAGTTTCATGAATTGCATTACCTGTAGCCAGAGGTACCTGACCGGTCTCAACGCTGTGTGTGTCCGTCAGGAAACACGCTGTTTACAAGTAGTTCCAGGCTTCCAGCAAACATCCACTGATAAACTGCGATGTTAGCAATAGCAACCTCATGATAACCACATATTTTTTTAACTTAGGATCATACCTGTGTTTAGTCTAGAAAAAGGTAAATGTGTGCATTTTATTATAAAGTTGTGTATATTTACAGACTATTGCAAAAACTAAGAAGCTTATAAACATCAGGTTTAAAACTAAAAGAGCTTTACAAAAAAGTAACACAATGAAAGATGTTTGGAGTTTTATTTGAGTTATTCATTTACATTTTGTTGTCAAAGAGATACTGATTTGAAAACCGTTGTTACATACAGTTACGGATTTTCCTGTTTCTGCCGGAGAGAGGGGAGGCCGTCCCAAAGCTTGCTGCTGTGTTTACTCCATCTGACAGAAGGAGCCTCATGTGTTACTCCACGGAGTTCACTCCGTCACGGAAGGGGAGTGTGTAGGGGTAGGGACGGTGTAGGGCGTGATTTGGGATTGGGCCATACACACGCACTTTTTTGCCCCCCCCACTTCTAAAATGAATCCGGCGCGCCTGGTCCATAGCTATCAAGAACACAAAACAGTTATTTTGCCCCTCTGTCCTGGGGGTTGTCAACATGGATGTTAAAATCACCAACAATGACTAGACGGTCAAAGTCAATACACACTATAGACAGCAGTTCAGTAAAGTCATCAAAAAAGCTTGCACAGTATTTGGGTGGTCTATAGATATTTAGGAACAGAGCTCGAGAGGAGCATTTCAGCTGAAGGGCCACATATTCAAAATAATCAAAGTTCCCATAAGATGTCTTCCTGCATTGAAGGGAATCATTGAACAGAATAGCAACTCCACCCCCTTTCTTATGCATTCTTTCCTGACTCATAAAACTAAAGTTGGGAGGGGTTGATTCGATAAGAACAGCTGCACTGTTATTTTGTTCAATCCAAGTTTCTGTTAAAAACATAAAATCGAGATTGTGCTCAGTGATAAAATCATTGATTAAAAATGTTTTTCCTGCCAAAGACCTGACATTTAATAAAGCTAGTTTTAGTTTGTTAAACACACTATCAGTCATGCCTCATATCCCTCCGTTTCAGCCATGTTACCAACTTACCAAAGTACATTACACCACAGTGTATGTAAATATAGCGTAGGCCAGGGGTGCCCAACCTTTTTTGAACCGAGAGCTACTTTTAAAGTTGCCAGTCTGCCGAGATCTACCAGTCCAAATAGAGAGGCATAGCCATTACTGACAGCCTACTACCAGGTAAATACACACTTCTACTTGTATAAAACTGACCTTTGTACGATTAATACTTCATAAAATACTGCAGATGCTTTATCTTACCTCTTCCTAATCTACATACAAGTATTTAACTGAAGTTACACAACAATGTTGTTGATACAGAGTTTGAGTTTATTCACACGACACGTCACATACTACAGTGGGTAATGTTTTCAAGAAACATTGAACAGTGCTGCCACATATAACACAGGGGAAAAGAAAATACTCTGAACCCTTTCTTTGCCATTAAAATTAGGCTTACTAATAAGACAACTCAGATCTGAAGCTACACAGGAATCTGCTGCCAAAGTGCAATAAAAAAGACAAAATTAATAGAATCAAACCCTTTTTTTGTTGCATTTTAGTAGATTATAAAAATAAATGCCTTTAAAATAGGATGCAAGCAACATGAATTGATAATAGACTATAATCAATTTAAGTTTGCATTCTTATACCATTTTGTACAATAATTATAATGAATAAGTTCAAACAAACTAAAACTTACAGCTGATTAATAACGGTATCTAACTTGAGTTTTTATTATATCAAAAACCTGTTGAAATGCTACTGTTATTTTTACTGTCCCACAAAAGCGCGTCGACAGCCTCCAGGAAAGCTTCTTTCACAACTTCGCCGTCTTTGAAAGACTTCATGTGTTTCTCAAGAACGTGACTGACACGATAAGATGCTCTGGTAGCAGCATTGCTCTTGTTGTTGGGCCTGGTGAAAATGGACTGCTGTGCATTTAGCTGTCCTTTCAGGCCCCTCCCCTTTTGGAGCGTAGGGCAGAATAGACCTATCGCTAAGCCACGCCCCCTTTGAAAACTCGGACAAACAAAGCCGACCGTGAATGACTCTTGACAATGGCCGCGGGGGGAGTTCAAGTTAAAATAACATTAAAATAGAAGCAAGAGCTAATAAAAGCAACAGCAGATGAAAGTTAACAGTTAAAAGCAAGAGTAAAAAGGTAGCCATGTATTTCTTTATATAAAATATCTAATCTTGTTGCCTGTCGTGTGTAGTGGTGACTGTTGTGTAACCATTGAAATGATAATATGATGTTGAATGTTAGCAGTGGTGGTCACTACATTAAATCTATAACTATAACTGTCCTTGTTGGTCATCATTTTCACTGTTATGCACCTGGCTGACTGTAGCGTTACCTTCTTTTGGGTGAGGGTCTGTGTCTTTTCGGAGCAGCACACACGAGAGCCCGGATGAGATCTGATATTCCAGAGTTGGCTTCCCATCTCTGAAGTGCTTTGAGGTGAAAAGACAGTTAGCAAAAGTTAGCTAAAAACACCAGCTAACTAGCGAGGACGAAAAGTCAGACAGCAAACGTTGATGTTGATAACACTGTAGCTAGTTAGCTGGCTAACAAGTTGGCAGCTAACGTGGATATACGCTAGCTAGTTGGCAGTCAAAGTCAATCGTTAGCAAACTAATAGTTTGGTCTACGTTTCTAATACATACCGTCAAATATGATGTCTTTATGAATTGACCTTACCTTTGAGCAAACATAAGTGTCCTTGATAATTGTCTTCACATTCAGTTGTGATGTGGTTGACGACACAGCATAATCCACCGCTTGCATTTCTCGAGTTTTCTTTTGGGCTTCGGAAAAGGTACGAAATATACTCCTCCATCCAGTCTTTCAGGGTACCTGGTGTCCGAAATTACAGGTACCCCACGCACAGCGTTTCACCATCAGATATTAGCTAGATAATAAACATAGAAACTGAACTCTTCACAGTGGTTTCGATCACAGACGTCTGGTTTTGGTTTGGCTTTTCAGGTGATGTCCGAGTTTTCTGTCAGGAGGGATTTTCGCTGTGATATGATTGGACAAATTCTATTTGGGGCGTGGTTTAGCGATAGGTCTATTAGGAGGGAATTCCGTCTCGTCGCGTTTGTGCACTGTTTTGAAATGCCGCTCCTAAATTACCCTTCTTCGATAAAGCCACGCTCGCATTGCAGATGAGAGACAGATGGACTTTGAATTGGAATAGATACAAAAATAATCATCCTGCCACTCGGAGTGAAAATGATATATTTTGGGGTTTTTTGCTTCTGCCATAATTGCGGTCTTGTGTGTGTGCGGACTGTCACTCCTGTTGACACGGACAATGTCAGCGAACTAGTGCACTGCCCACCAGCCACGCCCCCACACATGAGGTCACGCTGGCCAATCACAAAGCTTTGATGCGTTCAAGTGCATTGTTCTGGCACAGGAAGATTATGTTATAGGACGTTAACGATAAAACTGAATATTGTTGTTCTATTTTTAGACACATCTCGCGATCGACTGGGAATCTCCCCGCGATCGACCGGTCGATCGCGATCGACTGGTTGGGCACCCCTGCCGTAGGCATTAAGGCTACGGTAGAGAAACAACATCAGCAACATGAAGCCTTTTACCCAAACCAGCAATAGCCTACATCTCTATAAAGACAGCAACATTTCTCAGTTAACCAAAGCAGAAATTTGGGAAATGTATAATAATAAATAGCTAGACACCACGGCGGGTACAACAACATGCACTAGCCAATTATGTTTGAGTAAACATCAGTAGCCTATCTGAAGCAGAAAAACAAATGTAAATATACACACACATTAATGCAAAAAGAGAGTTTCAAAGTTGTTGCACACAGAGTAGCATACACAGGCGATTCTAGTTTTTTTTTATTCAAAAAGTGTGTTGTTGCACTCACCTGAGCATCTTCCTGTGAAGTCCTCCTCAATCGGCTTCAGGTTTAACTTTTTTGCTAGGTCATTCTGAAAGCGGAATATAACGATAAACTACAGAAAGTCCACACATTGATTGTAAAAATTCCTCAGCGACAGCCGAAATCCCCACTGGAGGATCCACTAAAATGTTGTTAGCATTTAGTAGTGATGTTACGTATTGCGCCGAGGCTTCGGAGCGTGTGTCGAGTAATCCCCGAAGCTTTTTGTGAAGCATGTATCGAGGCTTGTATCATTTTGGGCCAGTGACGTCATCGATGACAAACGAAGCCTCGCTGCCTGTCGATACCACGTGACTGCTTCAGGAAGCGATTCAGATCGGTTGAACCGTTGAACCACAACGCTCATAATACCCATGGATGTATAATAAGAACGATATTACCCCTCCTGTACCCGGGCCCGGTGACACGATGGAATTAAAAGAGCTCAAAACCTCAGTGGTCGGAACATGTCATAAGTATAAATAGATACAAGCATAAATAAATGTAGGAAAAAAAACATGAATGAATAAATACAGGAATAAATATGTTACAGTGTTTTCAGGGAGATTTAGCGTGTGTGCTGTGGCTCAGCTGGAAAGCAGTTGACTCACGATCGCAGGGTTCCTGGTTCAATGACTCGTCAATACGTCTTTTTTGTTGTTTATAAAAGCTACAGCTAAATGAGATAATGTAGTTAATAAATGTATTCTTTTATATGGTTTAGCCTTTCTCAGGCTACAACATGGTTACGTTTATGAATATTAGTAAGGAATACAAATCCCTCTTTGCAATGTTTACCAGCCTCCTTAGGCTTTTCAATCACAATCATTCAACTGGAATAAAAACAATATTGTTAACATGAAAATATGATTTTATGTTGGTTGTTTAGAGTTATTCTAAGGCTTTACTCATTGGGAACTCGGTATGAGATAGAGCACACTGTTGAGATGTCCAATCTGCCTGTTTTACACACTTTGACCAACAGGGGGTTTGTGTTCAAATGAAGCCCATGATGAAGCCTCATGAGATGAACCCTTTTGCGAACCAATTGGCTGGAAAGCTTCAAAGCTTCATAAGGCTTCATCTTGCCATCACTAGCATTTAGCATGTTAGCTAAGCACAGTGTTCACCTGCCACGCAAAGTGTGGGTGTGTTTGATTTGTGTCACCAAGCGTGCTGACCTGGTGCTGACCGGGCGCGGCATTACCATGTATCATCCGAGAGGGGTGTCTTCAAAGCACCAGCCGTGTATGTAAGTAAAAGTACGATGTTGGGGTACTTGTACTTTTATTATTTATTTATTTTGATTTTACGCTACATTACACTTCTACTCAACTACATTTTGGAAGCCAATATTGTACTTTTTACTCCACTACATTCATTTGACAACATTTGTTTTAAATGTTACTTTTTAAAATAAAAATATATAAATAAAGTGATGAATAAATTATGATATAGGACAGTTGTATATGAAGGTGTTTGAAGTAGTTCTAATTTTACTAGAGCTAATCAAAGTGGAACTACATTAAACACAGCTCTGTGATGGACACATTCATGGTAAAAAATATATATAATCCAGTAATTTAATATATATTATTCTGATATGGGACATTAAGCAAAAATAAATAAGTACTTGTGCATTGGAACTTTACGTTTATTTTGATGCCAATACATTTGTGCTTTTACTTAACCATCCTGTTGTGTTTGTTTTCCCTCCCTTGGTGTCCGTGGTCAAATTTCACCGGTCCTGTTTTAACTGCTATTACATTAACACAAAAACCATTAATCATCACCAAATTTCATTTAACACCCTTTCAAACTGTAAATATTGTATCAGACTACTGGTATATATGAACAACTGTAGTAAATATACAAAGAATAGACACTGAACATGTATTGCGTGTGATCCATGTTGGGGGATGGGCACATGTGGGAAATGTATCAAATTGTTCTGTGTGTGTGTGTGTGTGTGTGTGTGTGTGTGTGTGTGTGTGTGTGTGTGTGTGTGTGTGTGTGTGTGTGTGTGTGTGTGTGTGTGTGTGTGTGTGTGTGTGTGTGTGTGTGTGTGTGTGTGTGTGTGTGTGTGTGTGTGTGTGTGTGCGCAGGGGCCCCATGAAAAGATGGGTGTTACAAAGTTGACTAAATCATCAAAAATGCAATGAAAGTGGTGATCAGCAATTGTATTATGTTCAAATGTCTACTGTGAAGGATATCATAAAGCCTTAATAGGCGCATTCACACTGCGGTATTTTTCCCACAAAGGTTCATGTGAACTTAGTTCATGTGAACTCTTTTATCGCGTTCACACCAAAAAGAGCCGGTACTAAAATTAGTTCATGTGAACCTTTTTACCCCCAAGAAAGTCCCTGCTAGAGAGCAGAGAGCTGCTAGAGAGCAGGGACTTTCGTGCAGCTCTCTTGTGAGAAAAGAACTATATTTCTGATTGGCTGGGTGGATTGCAAACCACGCCCCGTAAAACTCCCAAAAAGTTTTGTGAAGCCGCCATTTTATTATCCTCGCATTAGCATTATTAGCATTAGCATTAGCCCAGCGCAGAAACACAGAGAGACTAACTTATGGCAACACAAAATAAAACATGGGAGTGGTGGAGATGAGGAGGTGTCGGCGTTCTGGCGATTTACTCGGAAGGCTTCAGTAGAAGCTGCTGGGAGTCCCAGCAGCTTCTACTGAAGCCAGTCCCCAACTCCGGGGACTTCCGGCCGGGGACTTTGGGCCGGGGACTTTGGGCGGCAGTATACGCCGTGAAGTGGTTTGCGGCCTGCCAGTAAGCCCAAAGCAGAAGAAGAACAAGTGACGTCAGCGGCTTCATTTGCCTAATCCACCCCCAGGGACTTATTCCAGTGTGAACGCGATCTGTACTTAGTTCATGCGAACTAAAGAGTTCACATGAACTAAGTTCACATGAACCTTTGTGGGAAAAGTACCGCAGTGTGAATGTGCCTATATAGCAATCGAATGTAAAACAAAAAAGTTATGATTGATGAACGTAGTAAATCGGTCAGAACACAACAGGAGGGTTAAGTACGATTATGAATGCAGGATTTTACTTTTACAGGACTGTTTTTACACTGTATTACTTACTTAAAGGTCCCCTATTATACTGTTTTACATCAATATATTATAGGTCTGAGATTATACAAAACATGTCTCTGAAGTGTTTGGCTCGAAATACCAAACAGATCACCCATTGTAGCATCCCATAATCCCCTCTGTTTCTGGCTAATGGTTACACAAGCCAAAAAATCGTTATGACATCATAAAGTGGCCAAAATCTGATCAGATCAGAGATTCTGAAACGTTCAGAATCTCTTTACACAGAGGGGACACGTGTTTATGTATAAAAGACGTGAAAAAGTGGATTTTGCATAATAGGTGACCATCAGTGGCGGCTGGTGGAATTTTTTCTAGGTAGGGCTGTGCCACATGCAATCAATTTCAGCAAACATCCCATGACTAAATGCAAAAAAAACAGGAGTTTTCAGTGTTAATTTACCTGTCTTACATTTGAATGCCTCCATAAACAATTTAAGCATTTGAGACTGAGGACTATGTACAAAAACTTAAAAACAATGGCATTAGCAATACTTATATATATATATATGTATGGAAATATATATATATTACAGAACAACGGTATAATCAACAGTAATACAAAAAGCTGAAAATGTAACAAACGATTAATAATTATTCTTATTCTTAAAATCAATGTGGTGTACGTCTTTGACGTGCCTTTAAAAACGGTGGCGGTCTTCAGGTGCTCCTCCAGCACAGTGTGCAGGAAACAAAATCCACCAATCACCTGAAAATGCCAGGGTTGACTGAAGAGTCAGTCTCGTCATACCAACGCAAAGCCAACTCAAAAGTCCCACAAAACTTCATTATTTTGGATAACATATGCATGTTTTTTATCCAGTACAATATTGGCTTCCAAAATGTAGTTGAGTATAAGTTTAAAGTAGCATAAAATCATCCTGTTCCTCATTGTGTTTCCTCACCGCAATCCTGTTGGCGTCGTCCAGCTGCTTAGCAGTTGCTTACTTGGGGCGATACAATAATCGTCCCTCCGGTAGTAGTTTTGAGGACGCTGAT